AGGGGGTGTAAACGGGTTAAACGTAGTAAGCACAAGTTTCCAAATATTCTACCTATGCGACATCCAGGTTGATTTTAGCAAATTTGTTTTATTATAAAAAGAAACGAAGCAGATTTGAAGTTACCGAAAAAAAGAACATTCAGAAAGAAACGATCTAAGGTGCGCGCAATTCAAAAATCGAATACTATCTCAGTTTTTGGTCGAAAGCTACGTAATCAGATACTCCTGGCTGCGCTGATTCCAAATAGCACCTTTTTATTCGAATTCGATCAAGTTTTGAGGGAGAAATTCTCAAAATACTAAGAGCACCGAGAAAACAAAAAATTTGCATCACTCTGAGAAACCTTGAGATTTTGCCCCCTTCTGTTCACTGTAATTTTTCGAATTTGATATATTCGGATTCCCCATCAAAAACTGAGTCTACAAAAGGGCAAAACACTTGTGTTGCACAATTTTGACAAGAGTCAGCACTCGACAAAATGAACTGCCTCTCTCGCAAACCCATCTCCTCCCTGGTTTTGAAACTTTTCTCCAATCGTCGTACACCATTCGAATCACCATTTGAAGGTGAACAGAAGTACGTATCGCTTTTTTCCAAAAAATTTTCTCTCATGCAGATATAGACTAGTCCAATCTTAGATTCGCCTAACTATTCCAGTTCAATCTTTGAATGGACGTATGCTCTATGCTTTATCTGAGAATGGGCTGAATAAATGTCTGTCTAATGTCGGACGTAGTATGGACGCGTCCAATCTCGGATGCGATACTGGCCTAGGCCAACCTGGGATTGGACGTAATCTCAGTTTGAACGCTGATATATATATAAAAGATATAGTTTTGTCACATTACAATTTTATCTAACGAAGTCTTCATCGAAGTCTAAACTGTTACAAATAGTTTCATAAATTATAAATAAATCATAGGAAGAGTAAATTTAAACTTAAGATTACGTTTAGGTGTAACACTTGATGATTAATCACTGTTTTGATCATGTCTCTGTCGTTTTCAGTTTCTGCTTTTCTCTATATTACTGGGTATCAATTTTTTTGATCACCAAATTTGTTAGCAGTGAATGGTTTTTTTTTAACATTAGTAATAAGTTTATTTGTTCCAAAAGAGTAAACAATTGTGTGAAAACAAAACGAGTCGATTTTATAATCCACAGATTAAAAAACAAAAAAAAGAAAAAGATTAATTTTACTAGTGATAATACATAACTAGACCGTGTTAAAATTCTTTAACTATCTTAGCTATTTTATTGAGCATCGAGAGGTTTATGGGCGTTGAAGAAAGCATTTATACGCAAAAATCTCTAGCATTTGTGTATTTCTTCTAAAGTATCTATATTGTTTGCTTTGAATATTCTCGAAAATTATCCAGTCCGTGTGACTATGCCTTGCATTAATACCCATACGGTTTAAGAATTTGCTATTTTTCCTAAAACCAAGATTTTTATACCATTCCTTTTGGTGAGACGTTACCGCCAGAAAAGTACACCGTGTGTGTTGGTATCGGGTTGCTTCTGGGGCTTTCTTTAGATGTTTAGTAAATCTTTTCCAGTACTTAAAAATATAATCTCTTAACGAACAATCTCTACTCAACACCAGTGTAGTTAAGTCATCCCATCCATGTAAATCGTAGATGATTCGTAAACCGATTGCGTAGACATGTTCTATGAGGTCGTGTTGTTTTTCTGTGAAAAAGAACCAGGTAATGAATACCCAAATAAAATGTGAAAGGCGAAAACAAGGAAAATTATATGTACATATACTGTATGTATATGTGCACGTGTTAGTGTTAGTTTTACTTTACTATACTCGTTGAATTTACGTATTTTAAAAAATTTAAAGAAATTCAACTTAATTATAAAAGTCAAATTTTTTTCAATATATTGGAAGGAAACATGATCTCAACCGAATATAATTCGCAGCAACAAAGAGAAGACACAGTCAATGGAGTATTTATACGATGATCAATTGACCATTATAATGAACAACAAAAAAGTAACGCAAATTTATCTCCACAAACTACTAGTTCCGCTTTCAAACGGACGCTAACAAATGGCAGTTATTATGAAGAGGAAATAAATGACTGTTCAAGTGGCGGATAGACAGTGGTACGTAACAGAGGAAAAACTCGACGATACAACGAACCGGCTGAAAGCCACGAGAAATTAGTTTTTGATGAAAGAAAAAATACAAATAACGAGCAAAATGGCAATCGACAACATAATTCTAGAACATTCAATAACTCAAATGTGGAAAATATTGTCCCCATAAACAGACAAAAAAATCAGATAAATCAGCATCGAAGAGGGAATAGTCAAGATTCAATTAAGATAATAAATGATAATAACGGGGAAATTTTCATATCAAAGCAGGTATTGTATTACGCAGCTGACATGCATTTACCAGCATTTCGTCTCGAGTATGAACCAAAAATCAATAGTACAGATGACGGACATAAATAAATTCAATTATTCATCAAACATTTTCGAGCTGATTTTTCATTATTGAATCCTCTTAATTCAGCACCTTTAGCTTTTGATAGTTGGTGGATTGATCGAAATGATGATCTATTATGCTTAACAAAAAATGTAGACTTATTCGTTTATTTATGCAATAAAAACCGTTATCAAACAAATTTAAATAATATAACTATCATTCCTCATCTACCATCGAGATTGCCAGTTCAATATTTGATTCTATTAAAATTCATCAACAATCAAATATTAATTAACGACATTAAAAGTGAACTCGAGGAGAAATATAGATCCATCTATAGAGATTAATGGAGGAAAATGAACTATAGTAGACATTTGAGAATGGATGTCCTATCAAAAAACGAGTACGACGAGGTTTTAAATAGCAGAAAGATCTGTCTGCAAGGTCAACTGCTTGACGCTACAGAATATCTTCAAGCATCATGTCTTCTCATATGCTCAAGGTGTAATGTTCCTGGGCACACTAGAAAGAACTGTAATGGCAACATTGCGGCGATAATCATTTGGGAACGGACTATAAATGCCCATTTATTGCTGAGTACCGTAAACGACTAGTTGTCAACATTAGAAAATTTGGTGCTTGCTCCGCGCTGAATCAAATTGGATAAAAATTCCACGCCAAATGCAAAATTTGTCGGCGAATCCGACAGCGGGTTCTTTATAATTACATCTTCACTTCTTTTTTGGCGTCGACATAATCAACGTGTTTTTTGCCTAAATTTTATTTTTCTCATTGGCGGTCGTTCTAATCTTCGTTTCAACGGAGCGTCGAGAAAAAGGAGAAAAATTAAAATATTTAATGAATACTAAAACATATGAACAACAAACAAAACTAATGCAGAGCCGAAACGACCCGAATACATGGCCATTGTTACCGTCAACAACAGCCGTTGCGAATCAATATTGGACTAATAATTCAACAGCGAAATCATTTCAAAATGAATCTAACCAAGTTAAAAAAGGTTGTACTCGTGAAATGAATGAAATAAACAAGAAATTTGATGACTTTCTTCAAAAATGTCAACAAGAACTAAAAACAATTGAACAACAAATACAAATACAAAGAGAAATGTTAAAAATTGTGTGTAATGCTGTGATGAAACAGTTACTTCCAACATGCATCCATTCAACTCAAGTAGTGTTAATGTTGGTGTCAAAAATACTAGAAAAAGAAGAAGACATCAACATCAAAGCTGGCTATGGTAAAACGATTGAAAATCTAAAAGTGAATGCTGATCTTTTAAGTCAACAATTACTATTTTTTACAACGTACTATACTAAATTAGACAATATTGGGGAGAAACAAAGTAATGGGTTAAATTTTGGTATCAATTCATTAATATCAATGGAAAATGAAAAATGACGATTTTAAATATTCATTGCTGTATGTTGACATTTCTCAAATTGACATTCTCAATTGCTATCCCCAAGAAAAAGAAGAACTAAGATCGATAGTAGAAGAATGGGATGTACGGTACAAATTACGAAGGCGCTATCAGATCTCGTTTTTTGACTCATCTCGACGAATACCCTTTTTAGAAAGACGTATTTTTATTGGAGAGATCGGACTAAGAACAAAAGAAAAGAGAGAAAAAGACTATGTGGTTGAAAGAAGGACAAAACATATGGAAATATGTGAGACCTACATTTCATCCATATACACATGCCTTTCGAGGGATAAGTACTCCGACTGGAATAGTTAAAGATAATCAAAACATCGCGGATACATCAGCAGACGTCTGCAAAAACCACTTTAAAACACGAATAACCCTCACCATTTACGAGCGGGCGAATTATACGTCCAAATTTCATACGTACCAAATATACCACTTTCTAAAATTTCTTTCGATGAGGTACAAAAGCAGTGGCAAAAAGTCAGTTCCAAAAAATCATCAGATCCAGTAGGTACATCAGCTTTTTTACTAAAAAAACTTTCACCAGAATATTTAAACATAATCACAATTTTATTTAATAAATACGCCGAAAAGGAGTTTTTTTGAAGGAGCAAAGCATGCAAAAGTAATTTGTTTATCAAAAGAAGGTCTATATCCTCAAGAAAATCAACAATGTCCTATCTCTCTGCATCTCAATATTGGAAACTGGTTTGAAAGGATTGTTCATCAACGTATTTTAAATTGGTGTTACGAAAAGGGTATCTATGTTGATGAACAATCAGGTTTTACACCCGGAAGGAGGCTGCAAATACGGATATTTGTTAGCAGTGAAATAATCACCAAATCAATTAACGAAAATTTAAATTAAAAAAACTGTATACAAGAAGAATATATATAGAAAAAACTAATCATCAAATCAATTAAACAAAAAAAATATACAAGAAAAAACTAACTCTATGGCAACATGGCTGTACGAATAATTAGCTTGATGATTAGTTTTTTCTATATATATTCCTCTTGTGTATGTCCACTAATTAATTTTGCTATTAAATTCCTATATATTCTTCGTGTATATATCGTTTTCAATTTAAATTTTCGTTAATTGATTTGGTGGTCAAAACACATTATTCCCATGAAAACTGGGTCTGAAAATCATTATGAGTATCAGTAATATCTCTGAGATCTATATTTTGGTTCTATAGACCACAAAAAATTGGATTACTAACAGAATTACGAACTCTGATATCATTATCAGTTTGTTTTAACTATTTTTACTTAAATAGCAGCACCGCCAGTCGGGTATTTACCCATTATAGGCTTTGCGAAAGAATGAATATGAGAAAAAAAACAAAATAGTAAAAAGCAGACAACATAATGTGCTGTGTAAAGGAGGGTAGGAAGAATGGCTGTGTGTGTGAAGGGAAAAGATTTTATGTGAAAACGAACATCAGACACGGTCAAATCGCTTTGTCTCTTCGATGTATTTTAAAATAACTCTGTAAATATCTTGCGTCCGCTCAAATGAATCGCTGATGTCTCTAAAACCACGAAGAATAAAATTAACACTCTCAAATGTGTTGACAGTTAATTTTACCATTTCTCTTCTCAAATTTTCCTTGCCTGTGCGTAAATTGGACAGTGTGAAAAGAAATGGGCAACACTTTCATCCTCGCCACATGAATACGATGGATCATTATCAATTTCTGTACCTATAGTACAGTAAAAGATAAAGAAGAGAAACAAAGACACGTGTGTATATCAACTAGAATAAATAAAACAAGAGGAAAAAAGAACACGTCTTTACTGTAGAATGTAAAAAGTAAAAAGTAAATAGTGAAATATGATAAATATTCTTAACATATTATTTAACAGAAAAAGAAAGCAAAAAACTTCAAGAATCGAAAACAAATTGTGACCAGATAGATGATGACAATATAGGATAAAATATTAGGGATGTACCAAATAAGATGTCTTTCCTTTCTTTTCACTTCTTGGCAATTCTTAGCAAATGTGTGCGTATGCGTCGATTC